ATCATTTTGGACGAACGGTACCTTCAATTAGGAGAAGAGAGGCCATGTGACAAAACTTTCAAAATAACATCCGAAGAACTTGATGGCACTGGCATCCTGTCAGATGAAGTGTTCAATGCTACGCGACACTTATATGTTAACAAAATTTGGAATTCTCACAACTACCTCGTGTTTGTGCTTAAAAATTTGGGAATCCGTCATAAAAGTGCCGCTGCCAATACTGAGACACAGGTGCACAAAAAGACCCTGATACCGATTGGAAAATTCGAAACGGTCAGCAACAATTCACTGATCGATGTGAAGCGAGATAATGGATGCCATGAATTAACTCCGAACTATACAGATGTGCCCGATGGGGTAATTTTCTGTTTCAAGTTCATCTGGCGATTCTTCAAGGGAAGGAAAACCATCGTTTGCCACCGGGGGGGATGCGAAAAATACGATTCTTTCGCAAAGAGTGTTGTTCCGTACCACGATGAATCTTTTTTCGACTTCTCCTGGGATAATATGCACTTGCAACCCCTCAAACTCCTCCATAACGTCTACTCCAACGAAATAAGAAACACCCACCGCTACGCAGCGACCGATTGGAGTGGGACACTCTTCCTGTTCCTTGAACATTTTGTGCGTTCCTTAAATTGCACCCTTAAAGTTCTGAACGACGACCTATATCGAACCTTCCTCGAGCTTGAGTCCCGCGGCAATTCTGACCCGGACCTGGGCCTGAAATTCGCCGCTGATGTAGAGGCGTTCGATTTCGGCGTCACAGAGGAGGACACGGACTTCTCGAAATTCGACTTTTCGGTCGGCATTGATACCAACGCATTTTGCATCGCTACTCCGCACAGCGAGTTCATTCCGCGAGGCTTGGTCATTTTCAAAAGTTGCACACCCGTAGTTTGGACCATGATTCTGCTCACGGTGACGCTGTTCGTCCTCGTGCAGAAGATTTATCACCACTCGCAGTGCAGAATATTCACAGGTCTCTATTCAGAGAATGAAATATTTCGTTACGAAAATGCGCCATCTCTGCTAATTGTCTACTCGTATTTTATTCTTGGAAGCCCGCCGTCTCTCCAATTGGGTCGCCTCAGAACTGGTAAGATCCTGTTTATCTTGTTCAGTTTTTCCGCTCTGATAATTTCCACGATTTTCCTCAGCGGTATGACAACATTATTGAGCAACAGAGTTTCGTATCCGGAGATTGACTCCCTGAAGTCATTGGAGGACTCTGACCTCTTCATTCAAGTGTCTTACTTGAGGGGGACCCACAATCTATTCAAACAGCTTAACATATCGGCAAAACTGATATCAAAGTTGACCGACGCTTTAAACTGCTACACCGTTTCAGATCTTTCCCAACTTAAAGAGAACTCTTCTCTATTCGAAACTTTCATCAACCAAACAACGGGCTCAATCAGCGATATTAATTTGCTTCAAGCACTCATGAAAAATGGAGAATCAATCGCTGAGGCGGACGCGTTTTTATTCAGTATACCTTATTCTCACGTCTCCAAGAAGAAGCTGATCATGAGACATTTTTTGCTCCCGAAGGATTATGAGTACCATCTGATACAAGAGTGCCTGACGACCTACCCGGTGTTGCTGCCATTCCGAAAATTTTCGTTTTACTCCGATAAGTTGAACGGTGTAGTTTCACGTTGTTTGGAGACTGGACATGCCCAGAAGTATATTTTATTGGATGAGATGAGCACTGAGAGTCAGGTGAAACCGGCTCCTCCGCCACCAGCACACAGAGAACCGAAAGCGCATAGTTTACGCGATTTACAGATAGCGTTCACTGGACTTATTGGGGGCTTATTTTTGAGTTCCCTCGCGTTTGTGGTGGAGCTTATAGTCGATTATTTTAAAATTCCCGTCACTCGGGCGGCTCTTACCCGATTGAAGAATTTGATTTTGACAAAAATCCATGGTTAAAATTACAGACAACGCCTGGATCACTAACTAGATGAGAACTACAAGCCACAACAATCTTGTTCTTCTTCTCGTGCAAACGTGTTCCAGATCATCTAGTCCGGAACACTTTCAATCATCAATACATATAGGGTGTCCCAGGATTAAGTACGAATATTGAAGCACTGGAAAAAAACACATTGGATGTAGAGTCCAGACTCTTAAAAACATCGACAAGGCAAAGTACTCTTGATTCAATCAGATTTTTACTTAAATCAAAAGGAAATCCGCTCAAATTAAGCGGCTTGGTTTTTGATCTAAGCAAAAATCCGATTGAATCAAGAATACTTTTTCTTGTCGATTTTTTAAGAGTCTGGACTCTAGATCCAATGTGTTTTCTTTTCCAGTGTACCCTTTAATGGACCACTAGACAAGGTACGAATTTAAGCATTCTGATACAAGTTTCTTAACCAGAATTTCACGTAAAACACGATTCGCACAACGAAAATTACTGAAACCAACTCCTAACGAAGATATTAACGTTTTTATTTCACATTGGTTACGAGGAATTTGAACTGCCCGCTCACAAGAAACTCAAAGCTCTACGTGAGTCAAATCTCGCACTGTAACGGTTTCAGCAATCTTCTCAATCGAGCAACGTTCATTACCCACCATGTGTTCTTCAAACTATAAGCAACTTGCTATAGCTGAGCCAAAGCGTCAAGCTTGCGGTTGCCAGGTTTTTATATCGCAGAGACTGTCATGATAAACGTCTAGCGCGCGATGTGAATCACGCAGAGCATTGAGTTTTCATGAGCGGGTGGTTTGAATTCACGCATCAAAAATTATTGAATATCTTCGTAAGGAGTTGATTTTGGTCATTTTCGTTGTACGCATCGTGTTCTACGTGAAATTTTGGCGGAAAAGCATGTATCAGAATGCTGAAATTCGTACCTTGTCTAGTGGTCCATTGGGGTGAAAACCGGGCAGGGACCGTCAAAAGAAATGACACGCGGACCGAGCTTTGCAGTGATTTTAGCGACGCGCAAGCCAGGGAAGGGAGCGCGGTCGAATGTCGAGTCATATCTTCACAGTGTGATGCGCCTTCAATCCAGCTAGCGGTCGTGTGCCCCTACCCGTACTGTAGTCGAATATTTAGCGCAAACTCTCGCATTGCGTTAGGTGCAATGCGAGAAGTATTCATGCGGTCTTGTAGGCGCTAACATGCGGTTGACGCCGACCGCACTGTTTGGCGCAATGCATGAAGTATTCCTGCAGTCTTGCAGGCGCTTTTTTTCAGTTAGGGGTCAATTCTTTGGGTCAAAAAAAAAAAATACTTTTTTGTGGTATGACATTTTTCCCCAAAAACGCTTTCCCTGGGGGCCAGTGGGGCCTCCCTCCACCCTCTTCGCCACCATCCGCGCTCCATTCAATCCCTATTATCTCGAAACAGATGAGTCATAGCGAAAACACGCGAGACACTTTAAATACTTTTCAACGCTGAATCTAGTGGTGCCGTCAAAAATAAATTTTTGTAAACATTAATTTAGGCCACTTTTAAGTTCGATACCCCCTCTAAACTCCCCTCTCCTCAAAATGCGTTTTCCCTCTAGTGGAGGTCAAAAATGAAAAAAGCGCTACAAAATACCCCCATTTACAAATTTTCATTAATTTTGGTTGATAAACATTGTCACAGTGTTAGAAAGAAGATTCTTTATCTCCAACTATGAGGGGCCGTGGTCCCCGGGGAAAGCGTCTTTGGACAAAAAGTTATAAACAAAAAGTCTTTTCTTTACCCAAAAAATAAACTCCTTCAATATTCGTACTTTATCCTGAGACACCCTGTTTAGAAGATTCGTCAAATCAATAAAACAAAAACAGCAAAGGGATATTCAATCATCTTCAGGAGGCGTGAGCCAGTCTTTGCGTCCTTTGTCTCGGGCGAGTTCGCCTTCGAAAATTGTGATGGCAATATGTGCGGCTTTGGGGCACGAATAGTTAGTTGCGCGATGTAGTTTTGCCACTTCAACATATAGTCACAGCAAGGGATGCATGTTGATTCTTCCCCTAATTACGTATCTCTTATTTCGTCGAGTTCCTCTCCAGAGCATTGCTCTATTTATCAGAGTTTCTAGCACCGAGCTTATGAAATCATCAATGCATAGTTGTCAAATTGATAAAACCAAATCAATAATGTAATATTCAACCATCTTAAGGAAAAGAGAGCTAGCTTTGAGCTTAGCTCTTCGGTGGTCATCTGCAGCGGCGTGGCGTGCTTTGCGATGTATCGATGGATCTGCCATTTGAACCTATAGAAAATAATCGATAGACAGGGTGCTCGTAACGAATACCTTAATAATCGATTCTGTACTGTAGCTTCAAATGGGGAAATATCGATCATTGATTGTTCACGCCACGGCACTGGTCATCTGAGTAATCTTTTCAATTTTCCCCAGTGTCTTCTCGTCTATCTGGCGAAGGTGCTTCAATTTGTGACAATCAGATGCTTAAACATTAGACGAAGGCACCTATTTTAAGATATTTTAAGAGAAATATCATTAAAGTAAGTCCATTTGAAAGCCAAAAATACAAAAGAGTAAAAAAGAAAGAAAACGGAGAAAGACAGCTTTAGGAAAGACTGTCGTTCAATTTTCTTTTGGAAAAGCAAGACATGCATGAGGTTTGAGATTATTCTGTTTGAAAAAGAAATCGCCAAAATATCTCCTTATATTTGTCTGTAAATATTGTTAAGTAATCATTGAAGAATACATATTTTAAGAATAACTGTTAATTGGTTGGTTTATCTTTTAAAACATCAAGCAAGTTGTAGTTATATAAATATTCAAGCGTTATTCAGGTCAAAAAATATAATTTTTTCAGGGCAGACCATGAAAAATCAATATCTGAAAGTCGGTGAGAACAAAAACACACCAACTCGGAAATTTTTAAAACCTTAATTCTCTGCCATCAAACATGGTGTATCGATTTCAACTTGGTGCTTTACAAAGTCTCTAAGTACTTGTCCTATGGCACCAAAAAGGTTTTTCTTAAACTAACTTCTACGCCCGGTGCGCAGTTTTAGGTGTTTCCTGAACATTTTTTTTTTCCGAGTTGTGTTTTCGAACTCACTGATTCAATTACGAGTTTTACTGATTTTTACTTTTAGGCTTTTTAGGGGGATTTTTCTTATACTCTTCAGGGTGTTCTGTTCGAATGTGTGAGGGAAGGTTGCTTTTTCTATAGAGGACTCTATTGCAATGAGGACAGGTGGCACGTCCATCGTGAACGGCCATGTGATCTTTTAAAGTATTTTCCCGCCCGAACGCCGCATCACACCCTTCATAATTGCAGCGCCATCGTTTTTCATGGTTTGGCTTCGCTTTCTTATAAGTAGTGGTATCTGAAAATAGAAACGAAAGAAAAATAATTAACTACACCAGGCATGAATAAACTCCAGTCTGACCATTGGCAGATCCAGCAACCATTTTAAGCGCTCAGCCGATAGGCAGCGCTTTTTGATTTCGACTTGCCTCCGAGTACTAGTATACTAGTGCTAATGCATTTAAATGGCGCACCAGCTCATCGATGTGTAGGCTTTTTTTTGGGGGGGGGGGTCCATTTTTAAAATAAATAAAGCATTGAAAACTGTATTTTATGCATTTAACGTAATGCGCAGGTAGTTTCGATCGTTTGTCTATAAGAAAATTTCTTAGCGGTAGAGTAATTCTTATCGAAATTGATCATTGAATTCAAATGACATAGAATAAAGAGACTAACGTCAACAGAAACGAAAGCCACCGCCGTTTTCACGTCAACGAAGCATAAGGAAAGGAGGCTGTTTCAATAAGTAATGTCTACGTTTGCGGTGGGTCGAAGTTTTGGAGAGGTCGAATAATAACGGATACATAAGTTTTAAGGAATTGAAAAAGTTTTCTTTTAACTTATTTATCGTTATACCGAAGAAGTGCTGTAAATTCCCTTAAAATTTAATGTTTTTTTCCCACTTTTATATTTGTAGGTAACCTCGAAATTGGTTTCAATACGGACCGACTCAGAGGAGAAAAATGTTAACATTGGTTCTTGCGGAGCTTTCGCTCCTGATGACGTAGTCTATTTATTCTATGAAAATGAAGCCTTAAAAAAACGCGCCTGATGAGCTCAACGGTGAGCTCATTTTCGGGAAACAAAAATACGCGTTTACGGTTTCCTTGGTAACCTTTGTTTGCTATCAGCTGATGTTTTATTTCCATTTCCCAGTCAAGTCGACGGAGTTTGTACGTCCTTTCTTCACTAAATACATTTACTAACACCTGAGCGCTTTTCTAATACAACAGTATTAGAACTTTCCCGCTTGTTTGTTTTGTATCCATTTAAATTAAACCTATGGAAATGTATCGATTCTCGGAGGGACCGAGTGTTCCAATAAGAATCCGTTAAAGATCGTATTCGATACATCAAACAGGCGAGACTGTATCGATATCGATTCTGTTCAACATGTAAATATAGCCTCGAAAGTTAATTCAGAAATCTGAGTTGACGAGTCTTTTATGATTGAATTTTTATTCTTTTGAGTACCAAATGGCAATGATAAGTGAACTTGTCAGGAATTTTCTCATTTTCAGTTTTTCCAACTCTTGTTTCGAACCAAACGATACACTGAACCACGATATTCAGATAATACGTACAGACAAATGACCTAGAATTTTCTTTAGTATATAGAGTTGTTTAATCCTGTACGTATTTTCATTTTTTCATAAATACCTAATTCGTATGAAAATTGTAAGTTTTACCTAGTTCTAGAAGACTGTGTTTCTTTCTACCCAAATGATCTATTAATTTTGCCTTCTCTTTGAAATCCTTGTTGCATGAAACGCAGATGGTGTTTCCTGGGTGGGCATCCAACATGTGCTGCATTAAGTCTCGTATTGTGCTATGTCCTTCAGGGCATAGGGGGCATCCGAATCTCCCTGAAGAGTAGACGAGACTTAATTTTCAAGCAAATTCCACTTCCGAGATAAAAAATTAGGCAAATTTATTTTTTCAAACTCCGCTGCAGGAACTTTCCAAAGGTCAAGTTAAATTTCAATCAGTTGAATTACAAGGTAGTGATCATGATCATATGATCCTAGCCAAGGTGACGTCATTACACTGCATTACGCAGTGCATTTTCACTATTGAAGGAAAAAGCTCGTTTAAATAAAATTTTCCCTCATAAAGTTGTTTCACGAGCATTGCCCCTCAATAGTGAGGTCTCCTTGGCTAGGATCAAATGATAACTACCTCGTGTTTGTGCGCTGGTAAGTCTACCCGCACTTGTTCTTTGGATTTGAATTGCCATTTTGAGCGTTAACCAGGTTAGGAGTGTAAGCTCTTTCCCGTCGTTTTCCATCGGCTGTGTCAATATTATACCATTGGCAAGGCCCGCACTGCCCCATGGGTATCATCGCCATTTTTCGCGGCGGGAAGCAATACCTATTTTCTCAGTGTTTTCCAGTTACTATTTCCACCTTTTTTCTCCTATTTTGTGCACTTTATGTAATGCCTGTAGGCTTGTCTTTGAGAAATTAATATCTTTACTTATATAATTATCAAGTATAATGGACAGGAGTTGGACACGAGAGACCCGATAGTTAGTCCATCATTTACCCCCTTTGTCTATAAAAACCGAATAGATCGCTCTATACTCCTTATGTCTTCTTTGTCTAAAGCTATGTCTATAAATTTCAATAATCGGCCCGCTGAACCTATAACTAGATTACCTGCTTGCTGTGTACCGGAACCAGAGGCGATGGTGGAACCTAGCCTTTGAGGTTGTGTTATATCGGTGTTCGTGGATGATGGAAGCAGACCAAATCTTGCGATCTGTGTTACATCGGTGTTCGTGGATGATGGATTCACACCAAATCTTGCGATCTGTGTTACATCGGTGTTCGTGGATGATGGATTCACACCAAATCTCGCGATCTGTGTTACATCGGTGTTCGTGGATGATGGAAGAAGACCAAATCTCGCGATCTGTGTTACATCGGTGTTCGTGGATGATGGAAGCAGACCAAATCTCGCGATCTGTGTTACATCGGTGTTCGTGGATGATGGATTCACACCAAATCTCGCGATCTGTGTTACATCGGTGTTCGTGGATGATGGAAGCAGACCAAATCTCGCGATCTTTGTTACATCGGTGCTGAAGGATGATGAAGTAGCTGCTGTGGGTGGAGGAGCTCTGCCGTGCGGAGGAAAGCTTGTTAAACATCTAAAATCTGCAGCATGAGAAACGAGGAATTAGTGGTCGATTAAAAGCAAATTTACGCTGGAAACAACTTCAGTTTTACAGAATTGAACCTCGGTTCGTATGAAGCACAAAGTTCCGGGTTCCGGTAACTGAAATTTTCAATCGTCCAATCGATCTTCGGGTTAGACAACCGAAGTCGTTGATACGAGCCTTAGGATGTCCAACAAATATTCCCGTACTGAGATCTTTAGGCGGGCCGATTATTGAAATCTATAGACAAATCTGCACACAAAGAAGACATAAAGACCGATCCTTTTGGTTGAAATGGGTGGCTCTTATAGACTAAGGGGGTAAATGATGGACTATAGCTATCGGGTCTCTCGTTAGTTAATTGCCGTTCGTTAGTCTACTACCTACGTCCTTTGTCCATCGCAATACCGCCCGCTTCCACCAATAGGATCCCTCCATATCCTTTTTGTCTTCTTTGTCTACTGCTTTGTCGATCAATTTCAATAATCAGCCCGCAGGGTTCCATGTGAAACGTATTTCTCATCGACTTGGAAATCGACGGATTGTTCATCGAATTTTGGGGAGGGAACGAACAAAGGGAGAGGAAACGGAAGGGAAAGGCGAGGACGAGCAAAAGATGGGAAAAGGAGGGGAGGCAGAGGAGAGTTTGGAAAAAATACCAGGAAGAAAACCTAACCTAACCTAGTCGTACTCTATAATCTACAGGGTTATCCAAAAGTCACTGACCACTCCTGTAACTTCTTTCCAAATTGAGATAGAAGTTTGAAACTTTGGCAATGATCCTCGGTCGAAAGTAGCAACTTTTTGGTCCCCCCAAAATTTTGGGGGTTGGCCCCGCTAAGGGGGGCGGGGACTAACTTTTTCTTCCAAACGGCAACCCCCCCTATGTGATACCTCATTCGAAAGACAATAAAAAAGAAACATTTCGGCGCAAACCGTAGGTCAAAATGTCGAGTTTTGACCAAATGGCGGCCGGTCGAAGTTCAAAAAAAGGCAAGACAAAGCAGCGATCGAATATAGCCGACCGACCAATCACGCTCCGCCTTTTAGCCTATGTCATCTATGTCGTCCCGACAAACAAAAAATGTCAACAATCAGGATGCTGAGCTAACTTTATGTAGAGTAAGATACTTACCACTCCAACCTCGACCGGCTGACGTATCAGCAGTTGGAGCATACGTGGCGCCCGGATTAAAAGAAGATTCCGCTGATGATTTAGTCGTAGTACCGAAATTTAATGTTGAAGCCCAGCCCCATGGCCGTTTCTGACTTTTTTTAGAGGCGATTTGCGCTTCGCATTCGTCCAGGGTGCTCATCCGGGGTTGTCCGATCGAGCCCGACGCGTTCATGGGTAGGTGAAACACGGTGCACTGGTAGCTCTTTGTCTGAGTGCTGGACTGCGGAGACGTTACAGGAACGAGGCGGCATTCGGCTGATTCCCATTCGCGACAGTTGTTGCGACCCTCTTCGTCCAGAAATTTGAAGGCCTCATCACACTTGCGATCGGCACGATCTTTAACGCGCGGAAAAGTGTAGCTGCGTTGAGATGTCATCGTGACTTCTGCGCATCTTACTCTTGCGTCCTGCAGGACGTTCGGGGCCATCTGCGAATTGGTTAGAGAGACTGATATAGACTGTCGTGCTAGACAAAAACGCCGTATGCACCTCCAGGCGTTGCCAAATTTCCTTTGATATAACGCGACTTTTCTGGTAAAATTATGGATATTTTTCTCCCAATTTTTCAGATAATTTTGTTCTCAATTTCACCCATAGTTCCTGAAAATTTCAGGGAAAAATATTCATAAATTTCCCCAAAAATAAACATTTTAGTGAAGGAAGTTTGGCAACTCCCGAATGTTCATACGGCGTTTCTCCTTAGCACGGCAATCGAGGTCACACAATTCTTGCGATATTTGATAGGGGGTCGTTCATAAAATACGCGCGCACAGGGAGAAAAAAAGAGTTGGGTAAGTTTTTTAGCAGACCAAAGATGCTGAAATTATATGAAATCAAGATAAAATTCCTCAATGCATTTTCGGGTATGATCCAGCATTAGATGAAAATAGTGAGAATAACTTACAGTACAGAAAATGCGGTCTTCTTGGTAACAAGGCACAAATGGGTACACAAAGCGCGATGTTAACATAGAGAAAGAGACATTTCATATGCCGATTAGAAAGACAGAAAAGGAATTACATATTGGAGATTTGGAGAAATTCTGTAAGCAACTTTAGGAAAATTGTGAATCAGTAAGAGTCATTACAAAAAAAAAAAAAAAAAAAAAAAAAAAAGAGTCAATAGGCATCAGTCAATCTACCGTGGATGCTTAATTTTAATAGTGCATGTTTAATTTTAATATCAAGATTTAATTTTATATGTTTTCAGCATTTCTAATCTGCTAAACAAGTTATCCAATTCTATATATGCTTATATGGTGCCTAAACTTAAAAAAAAGAGCATGAGGTTTTTAGACGAGTTACGTCCTAACCTAAACTTGATATTTTTTTTTCGTTCGAAAAATATAGAGGTTTGCATAGTCTTGACTTCCATCCCACAAACGCCCCCAGGAAAAAAGAAAAAAAAAGTTTGGTGACTCAAAATTTGGAAAAAGAAACTCTCAAGAATGAGTACCTAATCAATAGACGAAGATTTAAGAAATTTCAGGTACCGGTAAAAAAACTCGTTTTTTCATAAGGCCCTTTCCAGACGATGTATCACCGTTTTCTATCTACCAACCAACCATTCATTCAAGTCGCTTTTATAGCGCGCCCGGGCGCTCCGCGACACCTAATCGCCAGAGGCCTCTTGTCTATCGACACAGAGGTCATCTGGTAAAAGGCACCTTGTAATTTCATCATGAATGCCACCAATCCACGATCTTTTTAACTTTGTTAGGTTTTCTACTTACCGCTGCCGTGAAATGATAGAGAAAACACAAAGCCACAACGGACACAGTAACTAATGTTGGGCACTTCATCGTCGAAAGATATTCCACGAGTCAAGCAAGAGGAGACATAGCCCCGGAGGTTAATTTGACTCTACACGAATTTTAAATCTACAGACAGAATTATTAAAACCGTATGAGGTAGGCTATCTCTCTGGGGGTCGTTCTTAATTGTCACCACAAAAAATTAATTCTGATTACTAGGTACATTTCTCTCTATCTGCACGAAACGCCGAGCGAGTTGACATATTTAGCGAATGATTTTCGAAATATATTTTTTTCAACCTTTGCACAAGTGTAAAAGAAATCCAACCTTGGGAGTCTCAGTTTTTACCGAGAGTACAAATTTTGCAGCAGTGCTCAGTATTAGCTTTTTCTCGAAAATCACCATTATCGTCGGCTGCGTCATGCGACCAAATGTGACCAAAGCAGAATAGTTCTTCCATGCACTTCATTAAAATCCGTCTGAAAAACATGGCGTCAGGACAGTTTTTTGTCCTCCCTCTATTGTCACCGTCCAAGAAAAAGAAAAAAAAAGTAAAAATTTCCAAGTCTAGACGTTTTAATGTGCCTGGAGTCAAAAAACCGTACTCGAAAAATGTGTCCGTTCGCCACGCATACCCTTCGCTCCGTTGCTTTTAAAAGCTTTTGAACTCGCAACTAAAAACCCAAATAAGCCAGTTACGTGTAGCTATGGTGTCGTTGCCTCGACCGGGCTGTGCTGTGTTGCCAATTGTTGGAGGATAGGTTACGTGCCCGGATGTGGCTACCGCCACTCATAATTCGTGCGCAGTGGATTCATCAGTCATCTATCAGACTCCTACTTTAACATTCCCTGATACGACAACTTAGAAAATTCAAAAGCACAACCTGAAAAAAAAATAATTAAAGGAGTTGAAAACAAGCAGTGAACTCCAACACAATGTGTTGATAAGGCGCGTCATTAACTCGCACATATCAACCCCTTTAGTTTTCATTTACAGAGATTTCAAAATAGGCAAACAGCATAAAAAGAGAATTCACGATCCAACACTGCGAGGTCGAAGACGCACCTTGACGAGACCGTGTATTCCCTTGGAACATTTTCTTCTACTTCTAAATCTTGGCAGGGTCCCGTAGAACCTTGGTTTTCGTTGCAATCGCATTCGAACGTTAGACGTTTAAAAACCTTCTTTTAGAGTCAAATAAATTTTACCTGGACCCACATTGACACACCAGTGAACCTTTTTGAAAAAAAGGTCTCGTGTTGGGTCCCTTCATCCTTCGAGAGTGTACCCTTCCCGATCCCCAGTCATGAAACAATGACATGAATGAAGAACCTTTTTTTTTAAGTTGCCGTAGTCAGGTAGTCCGGTAACAAGAAAATC